CGCCAGTGTGCTGCCACCCCGGAAGCCCCAGCGTGCCCCGCACCCCTCCCCGCGGCATCAATCACATGCTCACGCAATGTTACACAAGCCTTCGCACTGTTTATAACAATAAATCATCGCGACACCAAACAACTTCCCGTGCTCCCTTTTCCTCTTCCCCGGGCCTCCCATTCCTGTTCTGTCCTCTCACCGCCCTACTCCACTTCGGTGTAGTTTGCGTTTCTGAGGTGGCCACAGACATCTTCGATTTACGAGCGAGCGGCATGTTCCAGAATCTGCGAGTTAGGCACCATGTCTCGTAACTGGCCGCTGTGCTTTGCAGCAGAGGAGCTATCGCCCGTTTCTTGCGACAGAGCTACGCCTCGCACAAACCACTGGTCATGCCACAGCTGATTCCCTGGAGGATCGTAGTGGCACAAGGTTATGCTTTTTTACACATTTATGAAAACACAAAAAAGCATATTGACAAGAAGTTATCGATGTGTATGCGTGTGTTCGCATTTTTACCATCCACTTTCAACTCAGCAATTGCAGAGGCTGGGAAGCTGAAACTTTTGGAGCGTGTTCCCACGCCATTTGGAACTCTCTATTCTTAAAATCATGTTTCTTCGTGAGGTCAGAAGACTTTCGTGCACCAGCAACTTCTGGTCGACCAAGTCGCTGAAGCAGACATCGATAACTAACACAACACATAACTGCACAAATAACTATCTGAACTTCGAAAATCAATAAGTGACAGACCCCCGTTGCTAGTACTCCAAGCGATCTTCAGCGCGAAATCGTGCAAAAAACGCACGATCGCACCGGCCTGAAGCGTACTGCAATTGATTTTGGACTTGGCGCTCCCTTTCCTCCCTCCCTCTTGTCCCGAACTGCCGCCTTTAGTGCTCCAAGTCCCCAGATGGCTTCAGCACACGCGCAGTTCTGATTACCGCTCGTGGATGGTTTCTGCGCGGCCAGTCATTATCGAGGAAATGTGAATGTTCCCATTGTGAATTCTGGATATGCGAAGCAACATTAGCAGACATCATCTCTTATCTAACAAATAAAAACAACTCTGTTCGCACAGACACCAGATGGGAAACTTCAGAAATCGGTATAGCGAAGGTAGTCAACATCTTGGCTCGTTTCATTTGGTACCAGGCCGCTCAGGAATCAGCAATAATTGCAGAAATAATGGTAAGGTATTGCCAGTCCAAAAAAAAAAAAAGCATGCGGTAAGCCCGCAGAACAGATGGGACCTGTGTCGCAAATCCGAGCACACCAGTCCTAACCGAAATAAGCAGTCCAACTGAAGTGCCAGCATGTTAACAAATCGGATTTGTTAGCTCCCTCACACAGCAACAAGAGACTGCTCGAGAACGAAATTCGGCGGGGCGCTCCGATGCCGTTGCAAATGAAGAGGAAATACAGGTCGTCAGGAGCCATCGCGCAGCCAGAATAGGAAAGGTTTAAGCATCGGAGTAAGCGAATGTCTGTACACAATACTGGAATGCTCGTTGGAGAAACAGTCGCACTTACCGAAAATGATTGCAAATGAAAGTGGGTAACCAATTCCTCATATAAATACATCCCTTCCGTGTCGCAAAATCTGCATATCCAATTTTACACATTTGATGTGCTGAAGGGCAGCACCTATTTTGCCGGGCTCTCAGCCGAGATGCCAGTAATGTCAAGGCAAGAACGAAATGCAAAACTGAGCCGAATCCCACAGAGCATGACTTATCACAGCAGGAACTCGATGACTGCAACAGCACATGAAAATAATAAAATGCATAAGTCGCAAATGCTAGGTTGGCTGCCCGAATCTGGAAATGAGGGCAAAAACAAGAAAGGAAGCGTCGTTCTGGCCCCCGAGGCGCCATGCCAGTCGAAGGATGTCGCGTGTTACTTCACCACCGGAACTATGGTGGAACGACAGTTCTGATGCAACGTGAGGATCCGATGTGCAGATGAAGACAGATGGAGCTGTGTTTGGTTTGCAGATTTTGCAACAAATGGAATAGTGAAGGAGCTACACGCATTCACGAATGCGAATGCAGCTGTTACAAATGAGTGACGTAGGCCTACCGGTTTCACGCCCTCCGTTGGCTTTTTTTGCGCCATCGGAACAGGAAGAGTAGTCTGTCTCATTGCTATGCGTCATCACTCCAGCTGGTACACATTGCGCAATCACAGAAAAATGTGTCAGCTCCGATCCCAAACAAAACCCGAAAAAACCCTCCATCCCTCAACCCGAAAAAACCCTCCAAACCCTCCATTCTTCACGTTCTAACGACCCTCCCAAGCTATCAGCTTTGCTTCACAATGCAACCGACCTTGCAAACAGTGACTTTTCAGCGACACTGCAATAAGCGGTCATCTGCTTACGGGCCAGGAGGCCTGAACGCTCAGAGTGATCGAAAATGACAAAGCCCTAAACTAAACGATTCCAATTTCTAGCTCAAATAAAAGCGTGCACACACCCCACTTCTTGCATTTCTTTCCTGTTCACCTCTAGCAGTAATGAGCAGCAGCGAACAAGGCCATCAATGGGCCGCACTTCCAAAGCTACCTGAGATGTATGCTAAAGACGAAAACTTTTGTAACGAGTGACTATTTGACAGAGTTGCTTTTGAAACGATCACTGAAGCTGCCCAACTGGTTGCAACATGAAGGCACCGACACTAACACTTTTCAGCAAGTCGCTAACGAAGTCTTCATACACGGAAGACTGAAATGTATGGATTTCAGTAACTAGCCCCCAGGAAAACATTTACATAACTCAGCAGTATCACAGGAAGAATGACGGCAGAAACAAATACATGGGCCAATAAGCAATGCTAGTGACGGCGAGACTGTAACGAAAGCCTGAATATAAAAGACAAAATTCAGAGGTACATAGTACAAAGTCAGACTATCGTGCTTTCAATTCCAACTAGCATCTTGCATCCGACTTTCAGCGGAAAGGGCGGTGATCAGAAAAAGAAGCACGAACGAAGCAACCCAGTCAAAATAGCACTCCTTTGGCTGAACACCACCTACTTCACAGAAAATGGTATCTTTTAGTGGCACCACTTTTTAATGTGTCTTTGCGCTAAACTTGAAGCAGTCTAATCGTTAACAGCAAGAATGGTTCCTACTTAAGAGTTTAACACGTTGACTCATACTGGCAGTGTTTTCCTCTTTTCTTGCGTAGGTGGGAAAAGCCCGCCAGCTAAGATGGTAGCGTTGCATCGTGGGGCCGCGTGAACCTCCAGCGTGCATGGTTATCGATCTTGCTTGGAGAGAAACAGATCGTTTCCGGTAACAAATTTTGATTGGGGAATGAACAAGATGTCGGGAGAGAAGGATTACGAAATCCGCAAAATATTCTCGCTTTCGAGGATGCGATAAAACTAAGTGTTTGTCATGTCCCTGCAGCTAAATTTAGATCGCACGGGATACACAAAATCCTTGCAAAGTTTCTTCCTCGCAGCATGCCCGATACCCGAAATCTCCACTTGTTAAAAATACTTTGGCGTGCCCTAAACTGTGCGCAACTGCATTTCGAAACTCCATTTAGGTATATGTTTTCTCAGGCGGAAGATACATGTTCTGGCAAAATTACAACTACTGTTCTCACGCTAGTTTTGGAGATGGCATGGTGTCAACTGTGAAATTCGACGTGACGTATGTATGACGCAAGCATTCGCAGTAGCAGGATTTGAAACTCAGCTCACACATAGGCAGAAAATATCCTTATACATCTTCAGCTTCCTACGTTTACCGGTTCCCGAAATCGTTTCTCGCCAAAAAATTTGCGTATTTTTTTAGGCATCCATACGTGAGACCTAGGCGCGTGTGCGTTGGTTTTAAAAAGGAGTGAAAATATGCTCTTACAATTTCAGCCTTCAAACTTTCCTGTTTGCTAAGTTGAAAGTGGGGAAAAAAGTTCACTCGCTTCCAGGTACAAACACACATATAAACTCGATGTGTTTAAATGCATTAAAATACACATTACCACGACGTTTACTTCCGGGATTTTTTGCGTTAGGGTTTTTGTCACCCACATTCTACTCAGCAATAACAGAAGCTAGGAAGCTGAGATTTCGCAAGGATGTTCGCAACCCGCGTGCTGTCAAAACAGCTTAAAGCCAACGTTTACGTACGCCTGGACCTCATATACGAAAATGTAAAAAACATACAGGTTTCTTGACGAGAAAACGATTTCAAGAACCAAGCAAATTTCTTTCCTGGATTTTTTTTATTTTTCATTTGGCCGGAAAGACGTCAAAATTAGTTACAAAGTGCAATCAGCACTCTGTAGCTAATTTTGACGTCTCTCCGGCCAACTTTTTTGTCCCCTAGCTAAAAAATCTACTCACTTAGAAGTGAGGGCAAGTCGTTGAGCAGACAAACCTGAAAAATTATGTGGGA